TAGAGGAAAATGGCGATAGTAAGGATTAGGAAAGAAAAAGCAGCAGTTTCCTGGTGTAGTTCAGGCACAGTTACGAGCATGACATTGTTGGATCAGCACATTTACAATTCTACTGTGCATTAGAACGAGAATGTCCCCCCCCCCCTTTTAGGAATGGCCTAAAGACACTTCAGTCAGTGGCACCGCCCCCGGGGGGTCGTTTTGAGAGGGAATCATCACAAAAATCGATGTACAGAAAAGTGGGAGGACATGGAATAACATCAAGAGGCTAGCCAAAGATAGAGAAAGGTGGAACGTAGTTTGTTCGTGGCCTATACCCTGATGCAGGGTGAGAAAGGCAATGATGATGAGGATGACGATCATGATGATGATGGTGTTGAGTGAACCTTATTTCAAGCGATAGCACTTTGTCAAATAGTACTTTGTCAAGCAGCTTATTGTCGTGAGTTTTGTCGTCACCCACCAGCTGTACGGCAAGTACGACATCGTCATCAACTGTACCGGCATGAGGGCACGTGAACAGATGTCTGACCCCAGGCTGGTGCCTGTCAAAGGTCACATGGTCCGGGTACGTACATGTTTTGTTGATCTTTTTTTGTCGACCTTCAATCAGAGAGGGCCGCAAATACTTAAGTCCTGAGAACAACAATAAGGGACATTTAGATGTTCCTAAAATTAGAGTTCTGCATATCATTCGAAAGCGGCAACAAAGAGCTATCTATTAATAGCACCGATGAAGCGCTGTTCTGTTCCTACGCCCAGTTATTCTTGTTTAAAGATTCGAGGCCTAAATGCAACATCGAACGTCATGTCCAGAAAAAGTATTTTTATAAGCCCTGTAATCGGAACTTACTCGAAGTATTTCATGATATGAGATTTTTGCTCATTTTCTAGAAATCATCTAAATTTTAATATGACTTGACCTTGGTGTTGTTCTCATGTCTTCAGTTACTGTCGACTACGAATGAGTTGATGTCGTGCGGAGGGGGGGGGGGGTCGACTCATCTGAAGTTCAATAATGGTACTATTACAGGTTTAACGCCCCTATCAGCACTATCAGGTTATTTAAGAGGAAGAACCTCCCGAGTTTAACGTCCATCTCCGACCAAAGTTCAGCCTAATCGTTGGGATCTGTAAAGAAGTAGGGTTGCTGAAACCCCAGCAGAAGATCAACTAAGCGAGTTCTGCACAAGCGGAGTGGACTGCATGAGGTTTTACGAAATAGAAATACTGAAGCCAAGAGAGAAGCCTGCAAGCCACGTACGTCCACTAGTGGAAATGAAGATTGTATACAATATGCTCAAATTTCTGCGAGAATTGGTCTGCCATAGCAGAGTCTACAAATCCTTTTCTTTTATTTGTCTTTAAGAAGTGAAAATATTATTTGCGTTTACATTACAATAAATGTAGTAAAATCCCAATTTAAAAAGTCCAACACATTTTCGATGTTGTCGCTTTTAAGTTGAGTTATTCCCTTGAATTTCAAAAACACCGTTTCTCAAAAGTCCTGAGTCATACTATTTCCAGTCCTTGCAGTACCGCATGGTAAGTTGATACTGGGCCACTCATGAAAAAGCAGGAAAGATATGACGTAATGTATATACATGTATTTGATATGGCAAGTAAGCAGGTAGACATCAAAGCAAGGCCGAGTACCGTTTTTTACCCTGAGCCTCATAGAAGAATGGAAACTGGATATTAATTACTTATTAAAAATATATCACTATTTTATTATCTATTCTTCTGCGTGAATTACAATACATGCTGTTATTTTAATATCGACATTGATTTTTTAAAAATCATGACCGATGTGAATCTAAAATTGTTAATGTTGCGCACTCAGAAGACTGCAGATAAACAGGAATGGGCATTTCCGTGAATTTCTGTTCCAGGTGAAGACTGAGCCAACGAAGAACTTCCTCGTCACAGATGACAACATTTCTGTTGTGCCCTCTAAGTAAGTGAATAAAGTGGAGTCAGCTTAAGCCGAACACGGTGAAGCCAAAAAAAAAACCCCCCAAAAAACCAGCGGTAATCCAAATGAAAACAGAATCTCCGGTTTGTTTGGGTTTTTTAAAAAGTATTAGCTATTTGTGCAATCTCTTTCAACATGGATGGCGCTTATATGACCTTATGCGGTCGTAAAACCCTCTACTAAAAAAAAATATGGCTAAACCGATGAACAAATTTTGGCAGTCCCTCAGATCTTGGTTATACGCACTCACATGTGTGTGATTTTCTTTCTTTTCTTTTTTCTTTTTCTTTTTTTTTTTAGATATAAAAGGCAGGGGAAATGTGTATGCGTGCCTGGAGAAAGGTAAAGGAATATACAATTTATCAAGTTGCAACGGTGTTGTCTAGTATTTTGGAAACAAGCAACTTGTCTGGCTGATCAATCGTTAATCTTGGAGACGACAAGACCGCGATCCAGATTTACGGGAAACCTTAGACCCATTCTTCTCAAAACTTTGTTTCCGCAACCTACTTAACAGTATAAACCAGATCTCACAAAGTAGTGAAGCTATCTTCTCAAATTCTAAAAGCATGTTGTTCAGGAATGGTTTTTATACCTAATGATAGTGCAATATAATGCAGTTCCTCAAAATGCATCATACGGCACCTTTCACCAGGCACATACACACATATTTATGTTCATCAGCAGTAGCGAGGATTGCGAGTGTGTGGACGTGGGCTACCACTGGAAGAGGAGCGAGCACAGACCTGGGGTGATGAGAGAACCCACAGCCCTGGTGCTCCGGAAGGCCCGCGGCCTGATTCCCTTCCTGGAGGTGGGTCTTCTTCTTCTTCTTCTTTTTCTTCTTCTTCATCATCTTCTTCTTCTTCTTCATCATCTTCTTCTTCTTCTTCTTCTCTTCTTCTTCTTCTTCTTCTTCTTCTTCTTCTTCTTCTTCTTCTTCTTCTTCTTTAAACACAGATGACAGTCCCTCGTGCGGCGACTGCTGTTCGCCACAGGCCCCCCAGACTCCAGTAAAGCTTTGCGTCTCCACCTAGGGTTGGGCCAATATTTCCTTCTCAGTGCCTGGTGCATTAAGCGGGCTCGTAGACAGTTGTTTTATATTTGGCTGGCGGTTCTGCATTCACATTAAAATTTTGCCATCTTTTCCCCCTCTAGGACTGCAGGGTGGTACAAGCCTGGGCAGAGAAACGCCCCAGTGAGGAGCCGCCTCTGGTGAAGATAGAAATGCTCAACTGTGGCAGTGCCATTCTTCCTGTAAGATCTTTGGGCATTTTTTGAATCATGGTAGTCTGTAAAGTCTCAATGCAGGACTTGTGAGTAAATACGTGTACTAAAGTATCAATCAGCATGACGGAGTTGATTTTCGGATGAGTATAGTAGTGCTCTACTCTCAAAATCAGTGTGGACAAAATGAAACCAAAGTTTAATAATGAACACGGGGAGGTTCAAGAAGTCTTTGGTCTAGATATGAAGGAATAAAGATAGAGCTTTGTAACTTGGCACACATACTTTCATTTCCCTACATAGTCACCACGCAGAGTAACACATTTCTGCCACCTCTCTTTGACCTTCAACTTCAAAAGTCCTTGAGAAAAAATGACCCTGAATGGGCCCCTAACCAGTCTTCTCAGCTTCAATGGCGTCCTTGTTGTCATGGAAACGACGCCCTTTCAGTGATATTTTAAGAGTAGGAAACAGAAAAAAGTCTGAATGGGCTGGGTCTGGTGAATAAGCTGGGAGTGACAGGACTTCAAAGCCGCACTGTTCTGCTGTCTGAACTGTTTCATGTGCCCTGTGCGCAGGGGCGTTGTCATGTATTAGGAGGACGCCATTAAGTTGTCCACGCCTTTTTCTCACTCATTCGGACCACATTTTTATCAGCAAACCCAAATAGTAGTCCCCTGTGACTGTTTTTCCATTTTCTAGGTAGTTAGTCATGATGATACCTTCACAATTCCAGAAATACGACGGCATGACCTTTCCACTGGACCGTGTTACCTTTGACTTCTTTGGTGAGGGAAAAGAAGGGGTTTTCCATTGAATAGAAGACATTTTTTGCTCTGGATCAAAATTATTAATCCATGTTCCATCGATAGTCACCATGTTTTTAAAGAAATGTATGTCACTGGGCTCAATTCGAAGGAGAGTTTTGCAGGACTCAACCCTCTTCTTCTTTTGCTCACTTGTCAAAAGGCGGGGTACCCGTATTCATGTTAAGATGGTCACGGAGAATCGTTTCAATTGACCCTACACTGATTTCTGTTTCACTTGAGGGCTGTTTAACAGTTGTACATCGATCTTGTAAAACCCTTTTCTTCATTATGGATACATTCTCTTCAGTTACCACAGAAGATGGGCGCCCTTCACGATCTTCATCCATCACCGACATGAATCCAGATTTGAATTTTCTCACCCAATATGTCACAGTACATGCACTATAACGAGGACATTTGTCCCAATAAACTTGAACCATTTCCTGCAAATCGTCCGAAGGGGATTTTCCTTGCAAGTGTAAAAACTTGATAACTGAGCGATATTCAACAGGCTCCATGGCACATCTTCAGCAAAGAAAAACCAAACGTTTTTGTGCATGGTTTCACTGAACACGCTAACTAGTGCCTTATTATTGTCGGATTTCCCCAAAAATTTGCTAGGTGTGTTCCAAAGAAATTGTCCAAAGGTTGGAGAAATTTCACTACTCAACCATGATTCCTTCATAACCTGACCAAAGATTTATTGACCCCCACCCCCCTCGTAGCCTGTCATTATCATTATTCGTGTAGGTGCGCTTGTGTATCTAAGAGTAAGAGAGAGAGAGAGAGAGAGAGAGAGAGTGTGTGTGTGTGTGTGTGTGTGTGTGTGTGTGTGTGTGTGTGTGTGTGTGTGTGCGTGCGTGTGTGAAAGTGTTGACTTGTGCTTGTATATATACTACAGTCGACTCCGTTTGTGTTGAACTCGCTAGAGTCGATCTTCAGTTATTTGAGTTATGCTGATCCTTTTCTAAGTTGTCCCAGCACCTCTTTTACATTACAGTTCCCGACGCTTAAGCTGAACTTCGGATGAGTTGATCTACTTTTTCACTTCCCGGATGACATCAACTCTTCCGTTATAGTCGATTGTAGTCTACTTACTATGCATTCCACTGCAAATTTTTCATTGTGATGTGGGGACCAAAAAAAAATCCCATCTCTGTTTTCATCTCTACCCATCTCATTCTCATCTCACTGTCCTCTGCCTCCCTATAGGTTGTGCACAGCATTGGCCTGGGTACAGAGACGTTGACTCTTGCCTGGGGGACCGGAGTCTACGTGGCTCATCTGGTCCTGGACCTACAGAGAACCATCAAGCCCTTCGCTCACCTCATGCTGCCCTTCAAAACATTGATCTGACGTTCTGATCGAGAGAGGGAACTTTATACATGATGTTACGCGGCTGCTCGCTCGTTTCATGCTGCTCTGACGCTCGGGTCGAGGCAGGAATTTTGTATAGATTATTTTGAAAACTTTATAATTTGTGTTTTCGTTTCTAACTGTACACTGAATAGTTGGCCGCTGCTCTGGTGGGGCTTGCTCATTCTTTCCTATCAAACATCTATCGTTCTTTTCTCTCCTCCTTTATAGTGTTTGCTATTTTTGTTTAATAACACTTCCATTCTTTGGAACTTGTTTGAACTTATTGAATTGTTTTGCAGGTGTCGTAAAACTAACTAAAACAAAGGGTTGGGCCATGGTTTCCTTCTAAGTGCCTTGTGCATTAGGTTGGCTTGTGGAAAACGATGATATTGTTTCCTGTTGTGTTTGTGACCCCTGAGAACGATGAGGGTTTTTCACCACGTGCTGGTCAAAGTTATGTATAAATGACATTTTACAGTGTCTTTGAGGGGTTTTCTTCATCATCTGTCACGACAGTATGTTTAACTATCTCAATATGTCATTTTTGTTTTTGTTGTTTTGGAGCAGAAAATTCTCAGTCATTAATGTTGCCTGCCAAGATATGATCGAGTCTGATCTAAACTGAAATCTGTGAGACCCTGGATTTTCTTTGGTTTTAGCGAAACATCCGTTAAGAGAGGTTGCTCAAATAGAGAGGAAAAAATCGGGGATTTTATTTTCTTTCGGTTACAGTTGTTTTTAAATTAAGCGTTTTCAGTCTATGCGGACTTCACTGTAATATATGAAAAAAAAATTAATTTTAGTTACACGATGTTTTCCAGACATCAGTACAAGTAGGCTCACCACACTTTCTCATTCAGCCATGATATTCTCAGGGTCTGGGACATTCTGCCCTCCTCTGTAAAGCTTTAGTAGTGTACATGTATGTATTGCCTTCACTTGTTGATGTAGGATGTAACAATGTGACTTTTTCATGGTCTTTGCCCCGACGTAGAAATAAATTTATGTTTAAGTTTAAGGTCCTGTTCCTTTCTTGATACAAAATGTACCGGTATGGTGCAATGTTATGAGGCCATAGGAAGAATATAAAACAATTTGATGATCTGTGTCATAATTCACATTTCTTGCAGTCATCAAATTAGAATATATATGAAAAAAATATTATAGACTACTTAACGCCAGCAGCAAGCCAGCTTTTAAAGGTTTGGAGACCTTCATATTTTTGCATCTTTATGAAAGTTCTTTCTCTGCCTATGCGTCTGAGAGACTCTGACTAAAATTATTTTAATCGGTTGAGGTTGCAGTAACAATTTCGGTGTTATGAGCAGCATTAGTTTTCAGGGATGAAAATGAGAAATACCTTTCAAAAGATTTGTTTGTACCTGTATTTTTCACTCCATTCGAAAAGGCAGCAAAATTTATTATTTTATTTTGAAAATAAAAATCTTGTTCTTTTATTCGTATTGTTCAATCAACAAGTGAGCAAATGAGAAAAAAATAACTTTGTGAAGCCATACGATGCCAATCTACTATTTTATTCCCTCTTTTTCAACTACTTGTTCGTTTTAAGATCTATTTCATCTGGCCAAGTATTTTCCATGTTGGTTTATTGATTTATATTTGCAATAAAGAAAAAGAATCAGAGGAAATAAAAGTCAAGGGCATTACTTGCTTCTTTTCAGTTTAATTTCAGTTTGATGAGTGTTTTGGCTCTTTGTTTCCTTCATCTTCTTCTGTTAAATAAAATTGTATTTGTAGTGTATAGGTTTATGCCCCTTGCAACAATAAAGATTTAAATGATATAAGAAGAAGGACCTCACAAATTAACGTCTATCTCCGACAGGACCACATCAAAAGGGGAAGTTTGCGTAAAGTGCATTTCCCAAAAGCCGTGCAGTCTTGGCATCGAGAAGAATAGGACTGACGTGGTGCTAGCGTGTCGTACGAGGCGACTAAATGGCGAACCAGGTAGTGACTCCTGAAACAGAGTCATCCTGCCTCCAGGTCGGGGGTTGAGTCATGAGGCTAACAACCTCTCGCGTAAAAAGAACCTGTTACAGAAACACATACAAGCAAAAACCATTATCTCTGCTTGGCTGATCGTGGATCTTCTCCAAATGGAGAGTTTATGATGCAAGGCAGTGAAAGCCGAAAGGAAGCTGCTCGGCAGAAGCCTCCACCATCATCCAAGTCCAAATCTCTTCGGATCGGCTCGTGGAACGTTAGGACCCTTTATGAGGCTGGAAAAACTGCACAAGTTCTCCAAGAAATGCACCGATACCAACTACACATACTGGGAATCAGCAAGACCCGCTTGAACCAGTCTGGACAGAAGCGAATGAAAGAGGGGGAGCTCTTTGTTTATTCAGGAAATGACAATGATGGACCACACAGGGAAGGAGTAGGGATGATCATATCAAAAACAGCTCAAAAGACATTCAGGGGCTGGGAAGCACATGGTCCAAGGATCATCATGGCCTCATTTGGAACTAAGAAAGAACTCAAGGTAAGAGAAGGTAGGAAGAAGGTCATTAACATGAACATCATACAAGTGTATGCTCCAACCAATGATGCAGAAGTGGAGAATAAAGATGACTTCTACAACCGCCTGCAGAACGTCATCGACAAACTTCCAGGTAAGGACATCAACATTGTCATGGGAGATCTAAATGCAAAGGTAGGTTCGGACAATAGTCACAATGAGGAAATCATGGGCAGACACGGATTAGGAGAGGCAAATGACAATGGAGAAAGGTTCCAAAACTTCTGTACATTCAACAACTTGGTCATTGGAGGTACAATCTTCCCAAACAAAAAGATTCACAAGGCCACTTGGGTCTCCCCGGACGAAACAACGGAAACCAGATCGACCACTTTTGCATCTCCCGAAAATTTAGACGCTCACTGGAGGACGTCCGAGTCTTAAGAGGAGCAGACGTCGCATCAGACCATCATTTGATCCTTGGAAAGCTGAAACTAAAACTGAGAAGATATGCACAAGTCGCCGCTGAAAATCGTCTAAAGTATGAAGTGAGCCTTCTGAAAGACCCAGTAAAGAAGAATGAGTTCAAGTTGGAACTGAAGAACAGATTTCAAGCCCTTCAAGATCTGGATGAATGTGAAGTCAACGAACACTGGGATAAGTTAAGAGAGGCAGTAAATGCAACTTGCCAGAGCACCCTAGGACCCAAAGACAACACCAGGAATGAATGGATTTCACAGGACTCTCTAGACAAAGTCAAAAGAAGAAGAGAGCTGAAGGCCCAAGTCAACAACAGCGTACCCGAACTGAGAAACTCGCTGCTCAAGAGTACACTGAAGTAAACCGGGAGGTAAAGAAGTCCATCAAGAAGGACAAGAATACCTACCTGAATGGCCTGGCCGAAAAGGCAGAGAAAGCAGCAATAGACGGGCACTTGAGGATTGTACACCAGACTACAAGAACTCTTTCAGGTAGGTTCAGCAAGCCCACTCTACCAGTGAAAGACAAAGAAGGAAAGACTATCTTCAACCCAGAGGAGCAACTTAACCGATGGAGAGAACACTTTGATCAACTACTGAACAGACCACCTCCAGAAAACCAACCAGAAATTCTTCCAGCCAGAAATGACCTCCCAATAGACACGGAACCACCTTCAAGAGAGGAAATTGCAGCCGCTATAAAAACACTGAAGTCCCACAAGGCAGCTGGTCCCGACCATATACCACCGGAAGCCCTTAAGGCAGAGAAAGATACGTTTGTGGAAATTCTATATGCTCTATTAGAAAAAGTTTGGCAAAAGGAGCAAATACCATCAGACTGGAAGGAAGGCCACCTAATCAAGCTGCCAAGGAAAGGAGACCTCAGCAACTGTAACAACTACAGAGGCATTACACTCCTTTCCATACCTGGGAAAGTCTTCAACAGGATACTCCTTGAGAGAATCAAGCTAGCAACGGATGAGAAGCTTCGAGGAAACCAGGCAGGATTCCGCAAAAACCGATCATGTGTGGACCAGATCGCTACTCTACGTATCATTGTTGAGCAATCGCTTGAATGGAATTCACCACTCGCGGTCAACTTCATTGAATATGAAAAGGCTTTTGACAGCGTGGACAGGGAAACTCTGTGGAAACTCATGCGGCATTTTGGAATACCTGAGAAAATCGTCAAGCTTGTGAAGGCCACCTATGATGGAACAAGCTGCCAAGTCTTCCACGAAGGACAACTCTCAGAACCATTCCGGGTACAGACAGGAGTGCGACAAGGATGCTTGCTCTCACCTTTTCTCTTCATACTGGCAATTGACTGGGTCATGAAAGAAGCCACCAGAGGTAAACGTAATGGAATACAATGGATCCCTTGGACTTCGCCGATGACCTTGCACTGCTCTCTCACACACATGCTCAGATTCAAGAAAAGACCAAGGAACTCAACAGCCTATCAAGGAGTGTTGGCCTACGTATACATCCAGGCAAGTCAAAAGTAGTGAAGCTACGAAAAGTTTCAAACCTTGCTGTGACAGTGGAAGACACTCCCCTTGAAGAAGTGGACTCCTTTACCTACCTTGGAAGTGTCATCGATGGTAAAGGTGGAACCGAGGCAGATGTTAAAGCAAGAACCGCCAAGGCAAGGTCAGCCTTCAAGCAATTATCAAAAGTCTGGAAAGCAAGCAACATCTCACTGCGCACCAAGATTCGACTTTTTAACTCCAACGTCAAGTCTGTGCTCCTCTACGGCTGCGAAACTTGGAAGACAACGAAGACAGTACTGAATAAGGTCCAGACTTTCATCAACAGATGTATGAGGAGTATTTTAAGAATTAAGTGGCAGGATAGAATAAGAAATGAAGAGCTGTGGGAAAGGACAGGACAAAAGGATGTAGAAGTAGAAATAGGACTAAGAAAGTGGCGATGGATGGGACACACCTTAAGAAAGCCCAGCGGAAACATCACAAGACAGTCACTGCAGTGGAACCCCCAGGGAGCACGAGGCAGGGGTAGGCCACGGGAAACATGGAGGAGATGCGTGGAAAGGGACATGAGAGAAATGAAGCTCACTTGGAACGAGCTTGGAAGGATGGCTCAGGACAGAGATAAATGGAAGGAGCTTGTATGTGGCCTATACCCTGCCAGGGGTGAAAGGCATTGATGATGATGCCTTTCCCAAAGATACAACGTTGAACTGAACGGAGCCTCGAACCCCGAAATCCTCAATCTCACGACGATTACAAGTCCAGAATCCTAATCACTAAACTACCAGCTCCCCTGATTCTTCTATACAGTGGAACTCGGATTCAACTAGGTCGCCGGAACTGACCTAAAATCTCGTTGAATCCGAGGGTTATGAGGTTACAGGCACTGAGCAAAAGTAATGTATAAAGAGAAGTAACAAGTGGTGCCTGAAATGCCTGCATATAATATTATGAGATGAGCAAAAAAGACCGATTCGTTCAAATGCGCGCCTGTGTCATCTCGACTGTTTGCCGAAAAGTTGTGTTATTTTGAAGAGCCTAGCAGCATACGGCAACTTTTGATTCCATAGACCAGTGCACAACCCATTACGTAGATCTACGTCGAGACAAGCTTATCATTGTAATAATGATCAGTTGCAGAGTTGTCGCTAGAGTAGACACGTGCACGTGCCAACAACGCACGTGTTGGTACATGTATGAAAGAAGGCCGCTGATTGGTCGCATGCAATCGGCTAAGTGAATAGTGGTTCACGATGCAGGTGTATTGGAAGGTTTCCGGGAAGTTAGTTGTGGGAGAACCCTGAAAACGCCCTCGTTAAATCCGAGCTTGCTCGTATAAGTATTTGTTGAATCCGGGTTCTTTGTATTGATCTTAAGGAAGTAAAAAAAAAACACGGAAAATCCATCTCCTTTCGTTGAATCCGAGTTCTCGTTGAATCTGAGCTCGTTGAATCCGAGTTCCAAGCGTATAAGGGGTACTGCACGCTTAGCAAATACTGGAAACGTTTGGCCTTCAGCTGCCCTGCTGCTGATTTTGAAACTGGCTTGCTTATCACGCACAGCTGCCAAACTGAATGCGATCCAGATAACATAAGTTCTTACAAACCATTTACACTTCGGAAATCCCACCTGCATGCTCAATTAATCATCATAACCTATTGCAGTTGATAATAAACCGCAGCTAAAATAAAGTACATCAAAACCTTGTTGTACTGTCAGGTTTGGGGGTGAGCTTGCACACAAAGTCAGATTGAAAATTGGCTAATTTTCAACGTAAATCTTAGTACAATTATGTTACTGTGAACCCTCAGGATTTGTATAAATTTTAGCTTTAATTAAAGAGCAGCACAGCGTCATTATAATTATGGCCAGTTAGTGACGAGATAAAGCAAAGTCAACAGACAGATAAAACAGAAAAATACATTGTTTGTATTAACTCTACCCATACGCCTGGGGTCATTTTGTAACCCCAGGGGTTGTATTCCTCACATTTTAGAATACTTCTACTTCTAGTGTGAAGATCTCTTCGAACTTTCGGCATTTCTCGAAAAATTATTTTGACTTACTGCTATGCAAAGCATACGGATTGGATTAACGAGTAAATTTCCTCTTTGGAAAGTGGGGCATAGAGTTCCCCACATCGTATGGATACGATAGAAAAACACAACGTATGGATAGTGTCAAGAAAGTAGAACCTAAGAATAGCACCCTCAAAGCACTCGAACTTTAGTGATTCCCGTGGGGAGGTCAAGCTAAGGTAAAGTGTGGAATTAAACTGAAAACGGACAAATATACAACATGAAGCCATGTCTTCCAAATTTTACATTCGTAAATTGTAGAAAAGAAAGATGTAAGAGATATAATAGATACAGAATAATCCGCTTATACTTATATCGACATGCTTTAGGAAGAGGATTTGATGTCAATATATATAAAAATGTCGAAAAATGAATATTAAGTAATGCCAAAGAGGAAAAAACAAGGGGAGGTCAGCGGTAAGGGGGGGGAAGAGGTTGGAGTTACAGTACCAAAGACCGAGCAGCGCGAGGCGCACTCTACACACCGGCACAAACATTGTTGTAGCATCCTTGTAAGGTCTGTATACGGCCGCTTGCTGGGGAAAATGGAAAAGCGAGGCATTGACTCGCTGACCGTGGCACTTGCCAGCGACAGGCTGAGAATAGGATGGGGAAAGGGAGTGAGCTATATGTTCTGATACCGGGGAGTGAGCGATCAGGAGTGGGGGTAGGGAGGTGCTGCCCAGCGCGCGAGACGTTCACGTCTGCGAGGCACTGTACTGTGTTGGAGGCTACACTGTGTAGGCCTTACATGACCCACTAAAGCCTGGTGTGTCGATATATTATATTATATGGGCGCCTTTAAGGACAAGCTGGATAACCCATATTTCGGGGGTTTCCAGAAATATTGACCTACACCAAAAGTGGGCATTGCTCTACCAATATGAGAAGTTTGATTCCATTGGTGTGTATTTGTTTGGTTAAAGAGAAATCTTTCCTTTTTTTAAAAAAGAAACTGAACAAGGGGCAAAAGCTTAGCCTTCAATTTTCTCAAAACAGCATTTTTCGGGATAGCCACCATGTGCTTAAAAGCGACCATATAGGCTACTTGGCGAGTATGCAGACTTAATGAAGAACTAATGCGTTGACCGTAAGCGTGGCTTTTCACCCCATTTATGTTCGTGGGCTTCGCCAGGTACCCAGGAAGCATGTCGATAAAGCAGAGGGGGCCAAAAAAAAGTCAATATAAGAGAAATTGTCTAGTAAAGATATTGAAAGAAAAATTTCGTAATTAATTGGAAAATATGTCGATATGTCAAAATGTTGATAAATCGGATGTCGTATAAGTAGATTATACTGTATATAGTAGACTCAAAGTCAGTGTAACTTTTCTGTTTTATTTCATATTTATTGTTAACATATCAGAAAACAACTAGTATATAACAACAATAGGCATTTTAATAATAAGTGCATAATTTATAAATGCATCACACTCTACAACATACTCTTTGCAGTTTACAATCAATGTATAATATATGCACACCTCTATCACAATACAGCTGTTCTCCTCATATAATATATCTCTCATTCACAAAACATTCAAACAAGCTCAAAAACGGAATTAACTCATGTGACCATTGACACTCTTTACCCTTTTTGTCTCTGTTCTCTCTTTGTTCATACTACAGCCTGGTTCTACGAAGAAGGAAAATAGGCAAGTAATGATATAGCAACGTTATGTTCCTACTTGGTTGCTCCAAATTCTTCAGAATTGGACAGAGGATCCACAAAGCAGGAAAGTGGGTTACAGAAACAGACATACCAACCATTGTCTATGGAGTAGTGGTATGTTCATCTTTCTGCTGGCACGCTGGATCCCTCTCACTTCTTTAGTATTTATTACGGAAGGGTCTAGGGGGACCAGGATTTTGGTCCACGGAGATTGCGCGTCTGGGGAGACCAGGATTTTGGTCCTCTGAGGTTAAAAGTCAATTGGGGTCTTTTCATTAAAAACCTGGGTGGGCTATTTAAGCCAGAGAGAGACAGACAGACAGATGGACAGACAGAGAATGAAAGCGTGAAAGACAGACAGAAAGGAAGTGAGAAAGAAAGAAAGAGGGGGATAGAGAGAGAGAGAGAAAATATGTGTTTGTGTGTGAGAGAAAGCGAGAGAGAGAGGGAGAGAGAGAGAGAGAGAGAGAGAGAGAGAGAGGGGGGGGGGGGGAGAGAGAAAAAAAGTGAGTGTGTGGGGGAGGGGCAAAAATTTCCTAAATACTGACCAAATTAAAAAAATAATAAGATTTTTGTGATCAGCAAATTTTGCAAATTTCACACAATGAACGCTATTTAACGCCCGATTACGAAGTTCAATTATATTTTTTGTGCGCGTGTGTTTCACCATTCGGCCCGTGCTAGGCCTAGATCTAGATTGCATCTTGTCTTTTACTTTTAAGTCTCGATTGCCACCAATGCAACCGTCCTCGCCATTTCGGGAAAACGAAATGACAACACTTGGAAGCAGAAGGAAATGGCTCGTGAGGTCACGCATGCGCAAAGCAAAATGTTTTCATGGTCCCCTAGACTGGGTGTCTCCGTGGACCAGGATCCTGGTCTCGAGAGACACTTCCATTTATTATAATGATTTTCTACGGGCAAAGTGGCACTGAGCGACTACAACAGCTCAAGACAAACAGGATCCTAAAGTTAGACATTTGCACGTGACGTGGTGACGTAGACTGTCCCGGTCTGATACTTCTTTTCCCCTTACACACCGGGAAGTTTGGCAGTGAGTTGGGATAGCCGAAATTTAAAAAAATCGGAATCAGGGGTTTTACGATCATATTTTTGAAAAACAACAAAAATCGTGACAAGTACGCCAAATCCGTGATGACGAGCAGCCCCGAGACTTCATCCCCACTCCATCTCTAAGAGACAAATCAATCTGCTACCATTCTGGTCATCTTTGTTGTGTGATAACATCTCGGCATCTTTCTGTGTCTCACTTCCGCCAACACCATGTGACGTCCACTCATTATGCTGCACCAGGCAAACTGGTAAGGAGATGTTCCGACCGGATACTTGCTTTACATCGTAGCCCTAGGAGGTGGGGAAAAGAAAAAAAGGGAGACAGTGACCAAATATCATAATATATACAATGGTAAAAGAAGCTGAATTTCCAGACTTCAATATTTTTATCACTCTTGATCTATACATACAGTAGGACCGGATTAAACTGAACACAGTAAATCTAAAAACAGTGGTAAACGATAGAAATATAAAATCCCCGATTTCTTTCTGCTATTTGATTAACTCTTCTGAACAGAACACTCAGCTAAACCAACAATCCAGTGGTCCAAGAAATTTCGGCTTAATTAGACTCCAAGACTCCACTGTATTTAAAAGAGAAAAATGAGTTCTTGATCTGTAGTTTCGACCAACTGTACTAATTCTAAAAAAGCTCATCTTCAATATGGTTGGAGAGAAGAAAATTAAACCCGAGACTTCACATTATACATTACGCCATAACTGCATGTATGTCTTTACCTCTGTCTTTCAGGACCAACCTGGGCTAGGGATGATATGTCTTCCTATTTCACATAAACATGAGCATATAACAGCAGCAAGTGATGCATTTCATGACATCACTGCCATGGGGACTTCTTATTTCTCTAGGCCTATCCAGGCACAGAGCACAGTACGACCCTAGACACTAGATTATAACATAATTATGTCTGGTGGGTAGTTGTATTTCACTAGCCCGGGTTGGCCCCGACAGTAACAGATGAAGCAGTCTGCCCTAAAAGATCAAAATTACGTTAATTTCAAGGTAAAATAAGCACAATTATACAGTTTTAGTGGAGATTCCTTGCCTCTTGACTCCGGTCTTGAGGCAACAACGACTCAATTGATTTCTGTAGGAGCTGCAAAAGAAAAGAAAAGTTCAAAGTATTATTCTTACATCCTGAGAGCTCGAAAATGTACTACATTTACCTGAAATAATATTCTTAGCACTCCGTCATAATTCAGTTTATGGCACCATAACTGAAGCTTCCACTTGTCAAATCTTTCTTTAAAAAAAAAAAAAAAATCAAACTTAGTACAGTGGAATCCTGTTATAACAAGAGGGATGGGACCAGTACGAAATGTCCGTTAATGCAGGATTCTTGTTGCAAGGGATCCAGTAATAAAGTAGGTTTAATTTATGAGTTTGGTGTTCTGTTTATTTAATTTTTTTTTTGTTATCTCCTCTGATGATGGTTTTGTTCAACATGACCTCTAGGTCTTACTTGATAAAAAATTGAATCAGGTTTCTTTCTCTAGGGTTAGCGATGTTGACAGCTCAGCGTGGACTATCAGAAGGAAAGTTTTCTAGGCTAACTCGCCCGCTGTGTTTTCCACCACCCCACCACACCCTGTGGTGCGTTCCTGCGTCTGCTTGCGCGCGTCACACATTCGCTCCATCCATCACAGCACGGTGACCTCTCCATCCCCGCATTGGAGAAGTGAGAGGCATGGTGAAGGTAGGCCTAGATAATCTAGACAAGGCTGGCCTATCACGTGATGCATTCTGCTACACAACGGCTTGTCTGCGTGTGTTACACCCTCCCTACTCATTCGCTTCGTCTTCATCTTTGGCATACATGGGCTCTCCCATTCTTTGTTTCGCTTGATCACCAACAAGTTTCTCAACTGGCGAGGTTTTTTTTACATAAATGGCCAACACGATGTGAACAGCAGCAGCAATATTCCGCTATAACCGACTCACGCGTTTATCTGATAGCGCTATAGCAGTATTTTATTTGCAAAAGATAAAGAAGGGAAAAAAACAGGGTTTTAGAAAAATGTCTCTATAACAGACTTCTCGTTATTTCAGAGGACTCGTTAAAAGTGGACTCCACTGCATAACACAATCATTTTCAGACATATATAAATAAAATTAATTAATTAATTAATTAATTAATATATTACATCTGACTGATCCCTTTGGGGAAATTTTGGTTACAATGGCAAGTATACCCACATAAATACTATCAATCAAACACACAAATATCACACCATACAAAGAATACCAAACACACAATATCACACAAATACAGAACAATTTCACAAACAGACCATTGCTGGTCGCCACTGTGCAGCGCCCTGTTTCTTTTTTAGCTAGGGTTGTCTGTCTTGCTCAAGGACACACCCCAGTGACCATCCATCTAAATTCTGTGTCATCAACACTTACCTGACACTGTCTGAACTCACTACTCACTTAGCAACTGCAGTCCCCAATCTCATTCAGAACCAAACGACATTTTTCAAGAACAGTAGTTTCTCTAGAGCAACTTCAGCCTGATCAGGACTGTATGTAAGACATATTTATCCCATCCTACTCATACATACGCATATGTGGTGAAATCAGGCGGTCGTCAAATTAATGAAACCAAAGAAATAGGTATTTTTCCGCCAGTTGGGACCTTTTTTCGAATTTCTATTTTTTAGCTCTACACCATTAATGTCCACACAAAAACATATTCCCATGTGAATATATGGAAAAACGCTAATTAGAGGAACAAAAAAAAATTCCTTTTCCAAGGATTCTCAGGCTATGGAAGTTATCAAACTTTGGCGGCCATTTTCTCGCTAATTTTACCTCTGAAACCAGGCGACCTGACCTTCAATCACAAATATTTCGACTTCTATTCAAGATAGATGGATAATTTGTTCACCAAAGGAAGGCAAAAGAACAGGCTTTAAGATGATACGAATAATCCCATATGCAAAAAAAAATTGACGGGGGCTCTTGTGGCCTAGAGATTAAGGTGTTGGCCTCTCATTCAAAGGTCCCAGGTTCGAATACGAGTAGCGACCGAAAAATTTTCTTCTCTAAAATTGTCTCCTTTCACCTCCTTTACTGCTTTCTAGCAATGTTCTGTTGTCTGTTTTCGTCTCCTCTTTCTGCCCTCATCCCCTCACCTCCTTTGCCCCCTCCTCTGGGTTCCTGACTCTTTCTTCAGCCCTTCTACTGCTTCTCCTTGACTCCTTCTTACTGCTGTCTTTCAGCCACACCCCTGATCTACTGGTAGTGGTAGGACAGATCTACACCTAACCTCCATGGACAAGGGCGAAAAATCTTGGAAGGCCCTTGTGCAAATTGCGCATGTTAAAGATCCCTTTGTGGTATAAATTGATATGAGTAGGCTTCAGCCGCCATCCGGGTAAAATTCAAAATTTTCTACCAACTGAAAACATTTAATGTGTCCCGTGCACTCATATCGAGTCATGTGACCCTATGCAGTTGCGAGGGCCGTAAAACATCCCCCCCCCCAAATTATTTTTAAATTGACGAGCGCCTAATTCCACCCAGTCATGACACATATGAAAGAAGAAGGCTCTGCCCCCAAAACAGTGCAGGACATACATTAACTCTGACGACAGTGTTGTGCGGCAGGTCTGCATTCTGGACATGAACCACCATCTTCATTCTGACCACTGGACACAGCACTGACTGTTGACACACTGAGCACCACAAACTGTCACTGAAATAAACAATTCCGATATATACGGTCCAAGTTGTCCAGGACAGTCACCCATTGTCAAAGAGAAAAGTGGTTGTTTGTCCAAGACAGGTAGATGACTTAGACAGTGTAATTATAATCTAGGAAAAAATGCAAGGGCGGGAATGGTAGTCCAAACAAGTGATTGTCTTGGGCAGGTGGCCACTAGAGCAGGTTCAACTGTCCATTTCACCTGGCAGCTTAAGCACGTCATAAAAGACATCAAACACTCGAACACAAAATTTTGAGCACTTCGAGTGCTTTATTGTTCATGATGACTACAACGTCCAAGGAGAAGAGTACACTGCACTTAAAGCTGAGTTTCAATTCAAATAAGTTAAGACTCGGTTGAATAAAAACAATCCATTGAACTTTATTTGTTTTGTTTTTTTAACCACACCTTTAACTCACTTGAGCCAGAGCTATTTTTCACCCAACAACTATTGCAACCTGACAGTTTTGGGGTATTGAATCATTAACCACAAAATCACTGCGAAAGCTATCATAATTTTTAAAATGCAACAAAAAAAAGAAAGAAATGCTCTCACAGAAAAAAGAAAACTGCACCTAATTTTTCCAGTTAGTTTTTATTTTATCAATATTTTGAAATGGCAATTTGTAATAAAATCATCTATTGTATTACGGGGATGACTGATTTTGTCCATTACAGCTCAAAAAGTGTCGCACATATCTTCACCAAATTTGTAACGAAATGAATCTAGTGGGTCAGCTGTTGGCTCAACGTTTCCCGTAGCTTGTAACCGAAAAACCAGAGATATCGATCGAAATGTGCATCCTGTAAATACACGGGATTAGGAAACCGGACGGCGGCAGGTCCTGTAAATACACCGGAATAGGCTCAAGTGAGTTAATAAAGCATAACCATACATGATTTACACACAACTCTAAAATGCCTTCAATACTTTTGAACACTTGACAAAATTGAAAATCCCTCATCATTGCAATAAATTGTGTATGTACGAACAGAGAAGGCTTTCTCCTACCAGTTCTGTTGGTTGTAGAGTTGGTCACCTCCACAGATGTTGCACAGGTCCCACACACACGCAGAACTCTTTTCCACATCGGAGACAGTACCTGAGTTTAACAAAACAAAACAAAAATGTCAGAAGAATTCAAACGCAACAGACCTCATTTATCATGACATAAATAAAGGAGAAGAAAACACAAATTTAAACATAAAAATAATTTATTAGCTTTCCCTTTTCTTTCCAATTTCATCTATCCACTAAAGTAGTTATGTAATTCTGTAATTCTATTACCGGAAGCAAATAAATGTTTTATTACTATGATTGTCGCAAAGTGTCATTCCGATAATTTTATTGTTGTGATGTCGTTTTTCAACAAAATGAAGTTAATTTCTTCCCTATTCATTTATTATACTTTATCCACACATGGTTACGCTATGAATGTTGAGAACATTCACAACTCTCTCTTTCGCCCAAAATTCAGGACACACTTCAGCTATATAACAATTTTTTTAAAATAAATATTTTATTTTTACAACACAACATTCAGTAAAAGCACTCACTTTAGATCCATGGAATGCCTACCTTGTACACTTGTCAAAGATCCACAAACACTTCCAGCTGTGACTGGTGCAAGTTTCACATGCGGAGTCTCCACATAAGTTAGCAGTTGACCAGTCAGTCTGGAGTTCAAACCCCACGATTCCCACAATGACCGTTTGAGAGCCAGAGTGTACTGGTCACACTTTAATTTTCCTTTAAAAGAAAGGAACAAAATGCTGTTAAAACTTTCAATACATGTGCATCCAATTAAGGCATTGCGCATTATAACATACAGTTCTTTTTTTTTTACTATTTTAGGAAAAGTACTTTTTAAAGAAAGCTGTGGGTGGTTGGCAGGCACTCTCGTGTAGTTTGCTCCTCCTTTAAAATCAAACATCTATTGTCATCATCTTTCTATATTCCTTTGTTTGTTACTTTCATGTGTCACCTCTAATCTTCAGCATGTATATGATCTAATTGAGTTGTAAGTGCCGTAAAATTAACTAAAGCTAAAAACACAGAAAATTAACTATAGTATAAAACAAAGATTCAACAACGTAAAGATTCAATGTGATGCTTCAAACGGAATGGCAAAGTATGATAGTTGCAAGAAACAATTAATTGTACAAAAGAGAATAACAATTTGTCTGTAATACTTATCAGGACATGGAATTTGCAATACTGAATCATTCAGGTTAAAAAAAACCTGCAATACTTGTCCACACAAAATAAAGTCGGACCTGCTCTAACACATTATTTTTCTTAACTTTAAAAAACAATCCATCCTGACCAGTGTTATTGAGAACATCCCTGAAGAAGAACAGTTCTGGCGGGCCAGACTTCACCAGCTCCTGTCCTCCTCCGTGGCAGTCGACTGTCACCTCCAGCCTGTGAGAGGAGAAGACGGCAGAGCCTGATCCAGACAGGAGTAGAACGTACACATTGGGAGCTTGGTTGTCCTGCTGAATCAAAAAAATGTATATTTTTACAGGAAAAGTTTTCCACTGGGACAACGAAGTCCTAGATCTATCTCATCTTGCTCTACTTCTTATGTTTACTCATCTCTTATGTAATTTTTATCTTATCCTATCTTGTCTTATCTTATCTTATTCTATCCACTAACTTGTAAAGAGTAGATCTAAAAAATGTCATGGGAACTCAGCTCTTAAACAGCTTCAACTTTAAATATATGGAAATATTTCACATTTTCAGAGTCGAACCTCCAATCCTTTAGTTTCTCTTTACTTTTATCTACTCTTACAAATCAACAAAGATGACTCAAACTTATACTTGGAATATTATGTAATGCACTATTAAGCTTACTAGATCATGAAAGACAATTACACCTTTAATAATATATTTGTATACGATATATACAAACGGTTATGTCTAATAATAATAATATATGAATAATAATAAATTACATTTCCTTGATCCTCTTGGAGAAATTTGGGTTACAATACAAACATACACACATAAATACATACACATAAATATATACAAACATTAATACATACACATAAATGCATACATATTACACCAATACAGACCAATTTCACTAACATGCCACTGCCGGTCGCCAGTGTGTATGCATGAGTTTCTACCAATAAAAAAAAAATCCAACAGATGTACCAACCTGCTGAGACAAACTGCGTCGGGGACACACTACATGTGCAAGGAAGGAAACCCGAGCCGGAACGTCTGCCTGCAGACACAACCTTCTATTAACAAGAAGAAACACAAACAAGCAAAAACTGAGTCTCCTTCTTTTCTATCCAACATCTATTGTCATTAGGGACTGTTCACAAATGATGTCAGCCAAAGTTCGGCCAAAATTGACTCCCCCCCCTCTTTTCATCTTCTGCCATCTTTCACAGGGTCCCAGGGACCCCCCCCCCCAGTTGACATCAACCAAAATGTGCATGTACATTTAGAAAAAACCTGTTCTAATCTAGCTTCTAGCAGTCTGAGCTATGGGGAGATAACTGTTAATTTTAGTTTTTAGGACCCAAAAAATAATACGATCAATTATAGCCAAGAAAATGTGGTCTATAACATTTTTTCTTTCTTTCTTTTCTTTTTTTCCCACAACCCTTTAGAGCATCATAGTTGACGTCAACTTTGTAAGGACCCCCCCCCCCCCTCCCCAAGAAAATGTCACTGCTCCCCCCACCACTACCACCCCTCAGAGCTGATGTCATTTGCGAATGGTCCCTTATCTCTCCTCCTTCATTCCTTTGTATGACACTCTCTAGTTGTAACGTCTCTAATCTTTGGCACTTACATGACCTTTTTGTGTTTCAAGTGCCGTTAACCTCTTACTAAGCCTAAAAACTAAAGTATACAGAAATGAACTGAACACCTATAACAAAACTCTATCAGATAATCTCAAAAATACTTTAACTGTCTTCAGATAATGTTTGAAACTAATTCTCTACACCATAAGATGACACGCAATGTTTCAATCATCATTCATCATAACATTTTTTTTCTCACTATCACATGAAGAAAAACTGGCCTCTACATCCAACTAATCTCATAATTTAAAGAAATTCAATTTAAGAAAACTTCACAGGACCATGAGACTGAAATTTCATAAATCATTTTGTCCATAAAGATTAAACTTTCACAAATTATTTCTTCGAAGTGACTGAGCATGCAAAAAGATTAATCTAACATATGTGTGTAGCTGTGAGGCTATGGCGTATGCAAATAATAAATAACAAAAAAGCATGAACTTTTCTCTATATGAAAAAGTCTCAACATCCTCTAAAGCACTGACTTGAATCCAAAAATGGAGGAAAACCGAAATGTGCTTTAGAAGAATAGGTGGGGAAGAAAGGCTGGAAAATAGTTGAAAAGAGCTAAAACTGCACATCCTGGACAGAGTCAAAGGGAGAAGTTTTGTTAACACCCTTCAATCCCTCTTGGCATTTGATGGGAGTCTGGAATGTTCATTGTCGGCAAGCCATTCTAATGCTCTTAACCCAGAAAGCACACTTTTTCAAGGGAAAGGGAAAAAATTGTTTCAATTCTATTTCAAATTGTACATACCTCGTGTATCTTTTTTTTGTGTGCTTATTTCAACACCTTAAAATTGAATTCCAACAAAATATTTATGGAGCATAATCAACTGATTTCACTGATTAAGAAACTGCAATTTTTAAAATATTTAAAAGATTTGGGCTTTGTACATTTGAAAAACTGGCTGACAATATGTAATGTACACAAACTGTAACCTGAAAAACATCTTCCTCCGTCAACATAGGACTTAGCATCAAACAGCCACGTCCACTCCCATCCTTAACACTGCTGAGACCTTCATTTGCATTGACAACTTTCAGGTCAAGTCGATTTCCTGCCTGACACTTCAGGACGTGGCAGAACCTTGGGCATCTTGAACTGACCTATCGCAGGACACATCAGGATATAAATTAGTTTTCAGTTTCAGTTTGGTAAGAGATTTATAACACTCAAAGATGCAAAAGGCGACCCCTTTTCTCATTGACAATAGGTGGTAGTCTTGGAAAATGTTCATTGTGTTTTTAGAAAATTATACTTTCATGTTCAAATTCTCGGTACTGAGATTTAAACAGAAGTAACACCTGTAGGAATCAAGTTGTTTTTTTTCACATTAGTTCACAGCATGACTTAGTATTACTTTGCGCGCAAAGGTGGAATGGTTGAAGCATCTAAAAATAATTCGTAAAACTTCCGTTTATAAGAGCACCCTCTACTTAATGTGCAAATTACAAAAATGGGCCAATTATGGAGTCAAAGTATATCCGCTTTATTATACGCCAGGTCTGTCATGTTATAGACGAGTAAATACAGTTGACCTGTGGCGGTGGGTGGACCAAAATTTGGGTTGGGCTTTGGTTGCTTCCACTTCATTACCACCAAATAGCAAGAATTAAGACCTAAACAGTACTGATTTTTCTATAGTCACGGTGAGCCACTGCATTTTGAGAACCATTCAAACGAGAAGAGTCACCTTTGTCTTTAATTTCTTTGTTCAAAGTTAGATTCTTCTGGATGAAAAAGTTGCCTTAAAAGTGAAATTGACGTGAATTATAACTGTTAAATCTCAGCGGCACAAACATAAACATGCACACACAGCACTTCAAACATATTCCATCTATGAGCTGGATTAGGCCGTGAAGTCGCGGAAAGTAGAACGCACCTAACAAAGGTCCAATGGTATCTGTGTCACTGGGGGGGAAGTGTGTCATAAACTTTCGCCCCACTGTCAAGGCTAAGAGAACACTAGCCCTCAGTACAGTGTTCTTTTTTTCTGGTCTTCTACCGTTTTACAAGAAGAGTTCAATATTACGGAAGGTGCGTGGGAATGGGCTCATTCTTTGCTGAGCTCTAAAGATATTCAATTGGCTGTTAGATTACTATAGTTGTAAGCAGTGACAATAGTGATTGGATAAACGAGCAAGCTGCCAAGTTGATCATTCTGTGTTCATTGCGAGCGATCATAATGGTTTCAGCTGCTTATTTCGTTATTCAAAAGAAACTTTCACTTACTTTGGGATGGAGTTGGGGGGGAGGGGGGCTCTCGTGGCCTAGAGGTTAAGGTGTTCGCCTTTCATTCAATAGATCCCGGGTTCGAGCCCGGATAGTGACGGACGTTTTTCTTCTCTAAATTGTCTCCTTTCTCCTTTCCTGTTCTCTAGCAATGTTCTGTCGTCTGCTTTCGTCTCCATTCTCTGCCCCCACCCCCCTCAACTCCTTTCCCCCCTCCTCTGGGCCCCTGACTCTTTCTGCAGCTTTTCTACTGATTCTCTTTGGCTCCTTCTTACTGCTGTCTTTCAGCCACACCCATGATTTTCTGGTAGGAAAGATCTACACTTAGCCTTCTCGGACAGGGCGAAAAATCTCGGAGGTCCCGAGTGTTAGTTGCTCACATTAGAGATCCCTTGGTGGTCCAAAATTGAGAAGAGTAGGCTTCGGCCGCTACCCGGGCAAAATTAAAATTTTCCTACCAACTGAAAATGTTTAATGTGTCCAGCGCGTTCATATAACCTTAAACAATTGCGACCGCCGTAAAACACTTACAAAAAAAAAGAGAGGGGTGGGTGGGCCTCAAGCCCGTGAGCCCTTCTTTACCCACCGCCGCCACTGCTCTTGACAGACCTAAAACATTCTCACCTGTGAAGCCATTTTTTGTCTGTTCGGATCTCGGAGGTTCCGACCATTCTGCCTCCAAGCCTGAGCAACAACACTGAACAGAGCTGGCTCCCTGCCACAAAACAAGTTACACTAATTTAGAAACAAACTTGAGGCCACCACATTGAGATGGAGTCAAGTTCTTACATTCCCCCCCCCCCCTTCCACACGCACACACACGCACACATATACACAAACACACACACAAATGCTTACATTCACAAACAGACCCACAGTCACACACATATGATATAAATTAACAACGGTTTAAAATAATGTTTAATAACCTAGAGTATTCTGACGGTATTCCAAAGCCCTTTAATAGATCATACTTGAAAGGTTCTAGGAAAAGCTTGAAGCACGTCATGTGCAGAGCTTAAAAATCTACTGAAGGAAATTATGATAAAAAGGAGGAGCAAGCAGCAGGTCAAGCAGTCACCGCCTAGTTGAGACAGTGCAGAAACGAAACAGAGAGAGAAAGTAGGGAGGAAGAGGCGTTGTTACACACACACATATCGAACCTTTAGAATTACAAAAGTTCTATCTGAAATTTTTGGCCGTTTTGAGTTACTAAAAACCATGAGGCCAGAAAACAAATATTCTATCTGCTCTTTCAAAATTGTAAGATTTTTTGGAGATGTTATCAAGATATTCAAAGAATTGCATTCGAACAAACTTGACATGTTGTTTAAGTCAAAAATTTGTTACGTCACATTTCTCAAAATAAGGTACTGAGCAGATAAAAAACTTTGTCATTCTAGGGTAGTGAGGTACCGAAATACCAAGAGAAAATACTGACCGGTCCTCATCTATGCAGCCAGACACAGTCAGACCCTCACAGGAACAAAGGCTTTCCTCCAGGTGAGTTAAGGGCACACCTGCCTGCGTGAGTCCCTCATCCACATCTCGTATCAATGCAAGAGTACCCATGCTGTCTTCTAATAAAACTTCATACCTGGAAGAGAGTCGAAGGGGTACATTTTGTAAAAAGTAGAGTTCTTAATAGGACAGAACACTTCAGGGGAGACTATCCAACATGGAATTTGAATGAAATAAGTATATGGGTTTAAATCAAAGTTATGGTGTTTACAAATTACCGAAACTCAGCAGTATATCATGTCTAAGTACAGATGTTTTGGGAGTTTTCTTGCATTAAAAATAAATTACCTCAAGATAACTTAAATCTACTTTTTTTTCAGACTCATTCAATTTTTAAGGCCAAGAGTAATAATTAATAATCGATTAATGCAATCTACCCTTCGCATAGTCTATGTCTTTCACTGCTGTACTTGAAAATCTTCAAAACATTTTGTTTGTTTGTTTTTGTAAAGAGTTTTACGGCGCTCGCAACTGCATAAGGTCACTTGAGCGTGCGCGACACACCTAAAATTTTCAGTTGGTGGGAAATTTTGAATTTTGCGCGGGTGGCGGCCGAAGCCTACTCTTATTGATTTTAGACCACCAAGGGATCTTTAACATGCGCAACTTGCACACAGGCCCTCCGAGATTTTTTGCCCTTGTCCAAGAAGGCTAGGTGTACATCTTTCCTACCAGAAGATCAGGGGTGTGGCTGAAAGACAGCAGTAAGAAGAAGCGAAGGAGTAGCAGTAGAAAGGCTGCAGAAAGAATCAGGACTCAAAGCACGAGAGACCCCCTCTTCAAAATGTCTCAGAGGAAAATTTAATGGTGATAAAAGGTATGATGCTTTAAACATTAAAGGAGAAGCAGTGACGTCATTATTAATTTATGAAACAGCAGACAGGCAAAAATATTATCTATCCTTTTAAGTAATTACAGTGGAGTCCACTTATAACGAGTCCGGAAAAAACGAGAAGTCTGTTATAAAGACACTGTTCTAAAACCCTGTTTTTTCCCCTTCTTTACCTTTGTAAATAAAATACTGCTATAGCGCTATCAGACAAAACATGTGAGTCGGTTATAGCGGAATATTTCTGCTGCTGTGCACAGTGCATAGGCCAATTATACATAATTAAAAAACCTCGCCAGTTGAGAAACTTGTTGGTGATCTAGCGAAACAAAGAGTGGTAGAGCCAATGTGTGTCAACAGTGAAGGCCGGAACGACTGAGTAGGGAGGGTGTGCCATGCGCAGACAAGCAGAACGCATCGCGTGATAGGCCAGTGTAAGCCTAGTTTAGATTATCAAGGCCTACCATGCCTGTCACTTCTCCGATGTGGAGATGGAGAGGTCACAGCAATGTGATGGGTGGAGTGAATTAGTGACGTGCGCAAGCAGACAGAATGCGCCGCAGGGTGTGGTGGGGTGGGGGAAAACACAGCGGGCGAGTTAGCCCAGAACCACAGTGTAGAATTCTGTGCCCAGAACCCTTTCTTTCTGATCGCCAACGCCGAGCTGTCAGTCAACTTCGCTAGATCTAGCACTAGAGAAAGAAACCTGATTCGATTTCTGATCAAGTAAAACCTAAAGGTCATGTTGAAACCAAATCATCATCAGGGGAGATATCAAAAGGAAATAAACAGAACCACAAAATCATAGATTGGACCTACTTTACAGTTTCCCTTGAATTTATTACTGGATCTCTTACAGCGAGAATCCTGCTATAACGGACATTTTGCTCCGGTCCCCTCCCTCTCGTTATAACAGGATTCCACTGTAGTAAAAACTCATCTCAGCTCATCAAAACAACACAATCAACGAAGAGAAAAAACCTTTCTCGTCTTTTAACTCAAAGTGAGCATTCAAAGAAGAGGAAATCCATTATAACATGCAAGCAAAACATGAGGGCCATGTTAAGAGACAAAATGCTGGAGACAGCTTAATGAATCACATGGTCCTTTGGTGGGGGAACAAATAAAATACAGAGAATTATAGAACTCGGGCAAAATTTGTAAAGAAAACAACAATAGCAATTAGATGTTGAAATTAAAGAAAACAATAATATAATAACAATTTCAAGCTGCAATTAAAGAAAATAATAATAATAAAAATATGATGTTGCAATTAAGAACACAATAATCAAAAACAATATGTTGCTGCAATTGAAGAGAACAACAATAATAACAATATGATGCTGAAATTAAACAATGAAAATTATAACAATATGATGCTGCATTAAAGGAGATAATTATGATTAACAAAATGACGTTACAATTTAAGAAAACAATTATAACAACAATATCCTGTCGTGAAATGGTTTACCTGTGACAGCCAGCTCGCGCGCCACAATGCTCAAACACTCTCAGCACAGTGGCGGAGAAGTGAGGCAGAAGCATGGAGTCTCCGTCGACGACTTTCTCCAGACTGTCCAGCAAGGTTCCACTATCCACAGAACGCCCTGGTGTTGTTGTTGTCAAAGTTTGTACAGACGAAGTATTCACAAGGTGTGATCTCATGTGCTGGCTGGGGCCATGACGGCGGAAACTCTGCGGACACGAAAAAAGAGTTAGAAGTGAATTTTAAATTCCCAGAATTTTTGTTTCTATCAAATTATTCAAAGAGAGACTTTCACCAACAAAATATTACTTCTTCTTCTTCTATGGCTGGCTTCCTCCAGAGGATGCAGCCTACAGCATTCAGTCAGATATGTGACGCCTCTTTGGGTTTGGTGCGTAGTACATCTCGTCCAGGCCTGGTATCATTATGCTAAGATACTAATTTAATTCCTTCATCAACATGAGCCACAACAATGTGCTTTTTTAATTTTATTGTTATTCCAAATAAAGCTACTTCCTTCTAAGATTTAGTGTTATTCCAAATAAAGCTACTTCCTTCGAAGTAGACAGCCATCTAAGAGTCACTTCTCTGTGTATTCAAGTATATCATTGTAAAACAAATTTCTCAAGGGGACCAATAAAGTCAAATTTATTTTATCATCCTATTAGACATAAGCACACAAGTGTTGATACAGACACGTGCATACTCAAACGAAGACACACTTATGCACATGTATATGTATGTGGCATTTGCTTGAAGTAGAGAAGCCCAAGAGCTGGTTCACTGATCAAATGAAAAAAACATGAAAAAAAAGAACCAGGCGGATGCGGGGTTAGCTCAAACAAATAAACACATATCATCGGCCAGCTGTTCAGATGTACTAAGCACAAAATTTTGAAAGAATTTACTATTACAGTTTCTTGGTTTATGGTATCGGTTGCATATGCTCAAGTAACATTTTGTTGAAATCAAAATTCTCTATGTTGAACAAAGCAAAAAAGATACATCATGCAGATACAATTTCTTAGAAGAAAAAAAAGACAGTTTTTATTTCTCTCTCCCGAAATATTTTTCTGATGGACTTAGAATGCTATTCTGTTTGAACAGCTTGCTGCCAAGATACAACCCTCAAGCAGAACAGATTTGCCCCATACACACTACTGCTTGTTGTAGCAAGGGGTGGGGCAACAGCAGATGAACACGGCTATGGTAACCGGTGATACAGTAGCCTCCGCCTAAACGCACACCATACAAAAGCCTGCTCCGCTCAAATGCACGCTTTCGTGTATGACGGGTTTTCTACTATATAATTTAGACGTACAAACGCACGGTCACGTCACTCCTTCCAAATGCACGCTCCAATCCTCTAAACACGCCAACAGGAAAAGCTTGACAAGAGGAAATTTTCACGACATATTGGCAGAGCTTGCGCAGGACAAGCCTACAACAGCGGATATTTGGTGAGACTGTCTCTCATGCTGAACAAAGAGAGCGATGGACAGCGTTTTCAAACCCAACTTTCCACAGACACATAGGTCTAGGACTGTTCATAAAACATTGGGGGGGGGGGACTGAAATGTTTTTTGATTGGTCAGTGGAAATGCATCTTTGAGAGAAGGTTTCTGACAGTTGTTCGGGCGACTGCATGCATGTTTAGTTAGACCTAGGCCTATGATAATGCGCAACACGGGTGAAGGCTGTAAAACAATAGATAGTCCTCTATCGGATTAAAGATTAGAGAAGTAAACCTAATCAGCTGCACTCGAAGAACTTATAACGTACTTGTTAAACGAATCACAAGAGAAAATTTTCCCTGAGTGTCATGTAGAGAACTATGATTCTGATGTCGTCCAAGAATTTACGGTCAGGGGTGGTCACTTGGAAAGCCATGCGGCAGGGCCGTCGTCTCTATGACTATCACCAACAGTTTCCTCTTAAGCTATCTTTCTGTTCCCTACATTTAATTTTATGGTGTATATCATAGCATTGTATTGAGTCTGTATTGTATCTTTCTTACCCCCACCCACCCCCATCCATTCAACACCTTTGTATTCTTAACCACAGTCCGGGAATTCTTCACAAAACAGTCACGTGTCGTTACATTATCGGCCAAAGTGACCCCTATCTCCAAGGGAGGTCACTAGAATATCAAGGAAATGAGATGACTGCTTCCCTTCCTCCCTTTGCAAAAGTTCATGTAAACGCATACTCCGTATAAACACACGCAAAGGAGCCCTCCCGAGCACAGTGGGTTCAGGCGGAGTCTACTGTACAACAATAACCGTAAACATAATTCAAACTCTCGCCTGACCTGTCCCCACAACTGTTTCACAACAGACCTGCCACTCCATGAAATCTAAAATTCAGAATCTCAGGGGGGGAAAAAATCGGGATCAACAACAAATCACCAAAGTGACTACCAAGCTAACTAAAGTTTGTCCTGGAGTATCCATCATATTGTGTGTGTGTGTGTGTGTGTGTGTGTGTGTGTGTGTGTGTGTGTGTGTGTGTGTGTGTGTGTGTGTGTGTGTGTGTGTGTGTGTGTGTGTGTGTGTGTGGTGAGAGTGTGTGTGTGTGTGTGTGTGAGTGTGTGTGTGTGTGTGTGTGTGTGTGTGTGTGTGTGTGTGTGTGTGTGTGTGTGTGTGTGTGTGTGTGTGTGTGTGTGTGTGTGTGTGTGTGTGTGTGTGTGTGTGTGTGTGTGTGTGTGTGTGATCATTTTTTTAAAATCCTGAAGTATCACGTCAAGTACTCCTAGCCTAGGTGTCTAACACCAAACCCCCCCCCATAAGTAATAAGTCCCGTATGCACGAACTTCAGTTGACCCCGTCAACGGACGGTACCCGACAGACGCACAACTCACATGCTGAAGTCATGTCACATGATGCGAACGCATGATTTAAACAGTTTTACTGACAGGTCTTGATGACTTGCCCGACTAAACAGAGCTTGGACAAAACTTGTTTTGAAAGAGCTTAGACAAAGCTGGTTTTGAAAGTAACAGCAGAACTACGAATAATCATTTGTATGTCGCAATTGAAACAGTTATCAGAATGCATCAGGCCATCATCTGAGAATTCTGAGAGGAAACAAAAACTAAAGTAGTTCTTGAGAATGTCCCAAGCCGGAATGCTAAATCGATACTATTTCCATTATAATTGAAAGGAAAATAGTGCTCCCAGTTCCTATGGACAAAAAGTTTAAAGGGTACTTCCTGCGACACAGAGGAAGGGAGAGAAAGTTTTTTTTTAAATCCAACGCAACAAATGGAACAAAAAAATCGGGATACACACGATCATAATTGGGAAAATTGGGATGTAACATGTTTGAAATTTGGGGAATAAAATTGGGATAACTCAATTAAATCTGGATGAGTGACAGATCTGTAACAATAACCCGAAACGTACAAACTCTCGTCTGACCTGTCCCCACAACGGGTTCTCTCCAGGCACAGCTGGGTCCAGAGCAGCGGGGCACTTGGCAATAATCTGACCGGAACCTGGAAGTACAATCAGACCTGTTCTAACGGCCATCTATCCAAGACAATCATCTGTCTACAAAATACCACTTCCCACTTCCCTAAATGCATTTTTTTTTCTATTACAATAACATTGTCTAAGAAGTCCAACTGTCTAAGACAACCACTTTTCTCCTCGACAACAGGTAACCATCTTGGACTATTTCGACTTAAAATGAAGGTGTAATAAAAATGAAGGGTTTAAGTCAAACATTGCTCAAAATAAAAAGACAGATGACACACAGGTTCCACAGGGATGAAACTAAAATTTTTGAAAAATTATGGATAAAAATTTCACATAAAAAAGAGTAGTAGTTTTAATTACAGTTTTATGGCACTTACAACACAAGTACAAGTGCCGAAAATTAGAAGTTTTAGTTTTAGTAAGATTTTACGGCACTTGCAACAACTTGAAAATGAGAAGCATTACAAAAGAATAACAAACACAAAAAAGGAGGAGAAGAGATAAGCTCGATAGACGTTTAAAAAGGAAAAACGAAACAAACCACACCAAAGCACCCGCCAACCACCCTCGGCTTACCTTCAGCACATGGACATTTCCACACCGCCCGAAAAGTCACACTGCCCTTGTTCAACTCCTTGTCAACAGCAGCCTGAGAAGTCTCAGCGTGTGACAAAACACGCACATACTGCGTACACAGGAGCGTCCGAACACCCAACGAATCTTCGAGCTGCTGCCTGAGTTTACCCCAAAAAAGAAAATTTTTTACCATCAATCCTTTTTTTCTTTTTCTTAAATTTTATGTAGGTGATTTTACGCCCCCGTTGACACAATTAAGATCAATCTAAGAAGTCGGCATCAAACCTACCTGCGAACTGGCTTTAACACTACAATAATCCTGAACATAATTTAAACTTTAAAAAATGTTTAAAAATTAAATATAGGTGTTTTAACACCTCCATCAACATAATTTAGATCATTTTAGGAGGTAGGGTTCTGATCCTGCCTGCCAGGACTGACCCGAGCTGTAAGGGATACAACATCCAAGCAGAAAGACCAAGATACTCGATGAACATTTTCCCTATTCGGGAATCGAACTTTGGCCTCCGGCGAGCAACAGCAAAGCACCTCGCCACTACACCATGACACCAGGTTTTTTCTTTGTTCTTTTTACTGAAATTTAACCATCCATCCACAAAAGACTCAAAATACTTGAAATAATGAAAGAGTGAGCTTGTCTGAACATTCTTTTCCTTTGCATTGTTTTGTTAAGTGACAATGCTCCATCTATCCATCTATCATCCTCATCTCAAGGAATCAAACTCAAACCACAAAGTACATTCAGAGGCTGTTTAACAACGAAACATGCCAATCACTAGTTTCAAACTTTAGCCGAATCTATCCCCATCGTACCTGGCAAGGTGAAGTAAATTCCAGCATTTACACATTGTTTTCTATAAAACTCCATTTTTCTTCTTCAAACAACTGCAGTAAAGAACTGCAGTAAATTATGGGGTTGTTTATTTGTTTTTCGGGGTTTTTTTGCAAAATGCAACAAAAGCAGTCCACCTTTCTCGACACATCAAAACATACCCTTTACACATAAATCAAGTTCATTCTTTGAGTCACATGACTTCGTTAGGGAAGGGTGAAAGTTTGTTGGTGGTTCTTTTCATTCCTAATTATTTTAAGTCGTATTACTATACTTTAATGTTGTTTATCTTTAAAAGTTGTCCTTCTTTGCTGAATAATAATGCAAAGAGAAACTGAAAAAAAAAAATTCAGAAGTAGCTACCAAATATTCCAAAGATGACAGCCATAAAAAAAAAAATTGTCCAACAGACCCATTCCCATTCAATGGTTGGAGAGAAGATATAGAACAATAGCATGTTCCAACAAGACTAAAAGAAATGCAGAGAACGGTGATCCATCTACTCACCACGGAGGAAATATCTGCACAACAGAGCCTTCCCCCTTCAGTCCAAGCTTCTCGACAGTATTAGAGAGAAAGACAACTTTGCAAACCTCTGGCTTGTCTTGTGCTTCATTGACAACTTTACTCTGGCACACGAATGTGGAAAACTGACGCTTCATGCTCAACAGCTTCACAGTTATTGCTTTAGGGTTGTTTTCTGGAAGAAAACATTTACAACATTTGAAATTTGAGGACATACAGAAAAACTACAGAACATTAGTCTATCTCTCAAGTTTTATTGTGAACAGTGACTAATCTTCCTTTAAAAAATGGTTAAAGAGGAGAGAAACCCACAAGCTGCACACATCCACAAGTGGAAAAGAAGCTTCCAAATGCTAAAAATGTGGCAAACTCTTCTCTACCACTGCTAGTCTCATTGACCATAGCAGACGCCTCAAGCCGTGGTAAGCTTTATTTCTTTAATTTTCACTTTAGAAATATTCTCCTCTGTAAATGCATTGATCACTGTCAGACATTGACTGACGAACTATTAGACTATATAGATCAGCAATGGCTCAAATTAAACTTGTGACTCTCTTGACCCCTATCTTAGAACTGTCCTTTCCCTTCTCTTTCTTTCACAGACTTTCTCTCGATCTGTTGTGTCTCATCCCAAACAGCCTGTTTTCCTATGTCCCTTGTTATTTGTATCAATGGGTATATTACCTACGTCCACTATTTCACCATGTCCTTTCATCAGAAATAAAAGTGTTGATATACTATCAACAAAAGCTTGCAAAAACTTCTTCCTTATTCCAAATCTACTCCCAATATTTAGTTGATCCCATTTGGTTTCTGTACCATTTCTACTTTCCAATAAATGTCCTGTAGCAAGGCATATTTTATCACAACAGCGACTATATGCAGCCGTTCATAACCCATAAAAAAAGAATAAAAGGCACATGTACAGTTTGACAGATTAAGGCAAAATGCTAAGAACAAATACAATTTTATCCCCACTTACGATCAACAGTTCCAGCCTTCAGGGAATGGTACCAAAACCTCACTGCTGACTTCTCTCTGTTGATCAGTCGAGAAAGTTGGCCAGAAAGACTACCCCTGAAAAGTTAAAGACTTTATATTAACCTTGTGTTCATTTAATAAAGCCTAGAGTAACATTGAAATTTAAATATTCGATTTTTTAAAAATGATAATAGCGGGCATGAAGTCAAACTTGTAAAAACAATCATATCACAGTAGAACCTCCTGTAATGATCACCTGTTCAGACAACCACTTCCCACTTGTCCCTTGCATTTTTTTCCTATTATAATGACACTGTCCAAGAGCATCACATATTCGGGTAACCACTTTTCTCTCTGACAATGGAACATCCTCTTGTACAGGTTTGACTGTCTACAAAATAACTTTTTAAACTCATGCATAGAGGCACAAAATCCAGAAAACAAAGATCTTTATTTAACATGCTTATAAGGAAACTATAAACATCATGTCATAAGTACTCACGATAAGTATTTTCATTTCCCTGTGAAACTGAAATCGGGGGCTCTCGTGACATAGAGGTTAAGGTGTTGGCCTCTCAATCAAAGGTCCCGGGTACGAAACCGGGTAGGGACCGAAAAATTTTCTTCTCTATAATTGTCTCCTTTCACCTCCTTTCCTGCTCTCTAGCATGTTCTGTTGTCTGCTTTCATCTCCTCTTTCTGCCCCCACCCCCTCACTTCATTTGCCCCCTTCTTTGGGCTCCTGACTCTTTATGCAGCCTTTCTACTGCTACTCCTTGCTCCTTCTCACTGCTGTCTTTCAGCCATACCCCTGATCTTCTGGTAGGAAAGAACTACACCTAGCCTTCTCGCACAACGACAAAAAATCTCGGAAGGCCTGTGTGCAAGTTGTGCACGTTAAAGATCCCTTGATGGTCTAAAATCAATAAGAGTAGGCTTTCGTCGCCACCCGGGCAAAATTCTAAATTTCCTGATAATTGAAAATGTTTGGTGTGTCCCGCGCACTCATATACAGCTGCGAGCGCCGTAAAAAAACTTACCAAAGAAACTGAAACAAAGGCTATAAAAAATATGAAGTGACCTACTTCACAAACTTGCTCTTCTTTTTGGCCGAGTCCTGACCAGTTTGGTCCGTCTGCTCCGAGTCTTTGTCAGGTGTTCTGTGTTTATAAGCAGCCATCACCCACTCACTGGCTCTGATGCCTTCAGTGACGGGGGACGTAGGGGGGCTGATCAATGCACAGGTCATGTCAGGGGGCTAGAAATGTACAGGAAAAATATTTATTTACAAGACCTTAGAGAGAAGAAAAGTTCTTGTATCAGGTGGTCATCTTGGAACCTGCCCATTATGATATAGAAAAAAATGCAGGGGGGGGGGTGAGGAGGAGGGAGCGGGAAGTGGTTGTTTGTAAAGGTGAAAGTGCGACAGGTGGTTGTTAGATCAGATACGGGGAGTAACTATTATCTGTTTGAGGTGGCCGAATTTTGCTATTCAAAAGGCTTTTTAATGGCTGCATCGATTGATAATGCGGTTTTCGTCAAAAGATTCTTTAAAATATTCTCCAGTTCATGACGCCTTTCTTTTTTTGATTTTTGAGACAGTTTTGCAGCAAAAATCTAAATTTCTTTATTTAGCCGATCGCTTTTGTAGCCCGATGCTTCTGTCTCTACAATTTTAGAATATCCGGAGCGGAAGTGATATTTTGCGAGGCGCATTTTGTTTTGAGAGTATAGATCTAGATCTAGACCTAATTTTTTGCATCTCTCAAGATTTATTGCTTCATTCCAGTAGAGTGTAAATATAGTAGGCCAATGACTTTCAATTGATGTTAATGCACCGATCATTCCTTTATCGAAAGGGGGCCCAGCTAGTATAATATATATATATATACATGTTTCAACATCTACAGAAATGCACGAGGGGGGGGGGGGGATAGATGTTTGATAAAAAAAAAAGGAGCAATACAACAGCCAAGCACAGGCCAACCACCCGATCCACATACTTATACAGGACGTCTGTACAACAAGATCCCTGCTGAAGGAGATCATTCAATCCCCAAGTAGTTGGGTTTTTTTATTGTAAAGAACTTTTTTCAACTCACATGGTCTAAAATCAACTCTAAAGACTCATATCATCAGCCAACTGTTCAGATGTACAGAGCCCAAAATTTTGACAGATTCCAAACTAGAAAGATGCTATTTATTATTTGTGAACTCACTGTTCGAGGCCTGATTTGATATTGTGTTGATGTTCCCGGTTCCAAAGACTGGTTGCCACTGCATGCAGGTGAAGACCCGGAGTCAATTTGCTGAGGACATTTCATTTACTTCAAATTAACACTGTAAAAGTGCAAGACATTTTGGATATAATATGAGACTTAACCTTGCAAGACGGATGTTTTCAGGAGCACAATACATGTGTAAGTTTCAAATCCAAGTTAAGTAAGAGAGAAAATCCGAGGCCCTATCGAACTCCCCCCTACGTCTAAGTTGCAAATAGCAACAGGAATCTGAAACACACTGCAATACTTTTAATAAAATGACATCATTCATCATCATTCTCATTTTTACTACTACAGCCACAGACCCAGAGAGAGCTCTCATAATTTTGTGTAGTGTATGATGACAAAGTGAATAACATACAAGCATTTGGCATCACAATATCATCATTGCCTTTATCACCCTGCACCAGGGTATAGGCCACGGACAAATACTTTCCACCTCTCTCTATCCCGGCTTAGCCTCTTAATGTTATTCCATGTCTTCCCACTTTTCTGTACATAATTTCTGTGATTCTTCTCCAGGTTCCATGCGGTGTTCCCCTTGATCTCTTTCCCTGTGGATTTCAATCCAAATCTTTCTTTTTTATGCAACTGCCTGACTTCCTGAGAGTATGTCCAATCCATCGCCACCACCTTCTTCCTACCTCATCTCTGACTGGGATCTGTCTTGTTTTCCTTGGCACTTCCTCGTTGGTGACCCTGTCTGTCCATATGATCCTCAGTAACTTTCTTAGACACTTGTTCAAGAAAATCTGGATCCTCTTTATGCAAGTCTGTGACGCGTTCCACGTCTCACATCCATACAACAGAACAGTCTTCACATTTGAATTGAAAATCCTTAGCTTTGTTCGAAGTGAGATATCTCTGGTCTTCCAGATCCTATCCAAAGATATGACAGCAGCCTGTGCTTTTCTAAGGCGGTACTTTATTTCAGCACCTGTTCTTCCCTCTCTGTCAATCACACTCCCAAGATAGCATGACAATATGTTGTTTGCAAAAAGCTCAAACCCAAAAATATAGACTCTGCAACCAAAGATAATTCCCTCATTCTTTTGTCCAGTTTCATTTTCAACCTATTGAATACTCCCTGCCAATGACAGACTGAAAGCTTACAACTAACACAAACAAATACAGTCAAGTTGCTCTAACGGCCACTTGTCCAAGACAATCATCTGTACAAATGGCTACTTCCAATTTCCTCATTATTGCTTTTTTATTATCATAATAACACTATCCAAGACATCCACCTGTTAAAGACAACCACTTTTCTCCTGACAATGAGTGGCAATTTTGGATGATTTCAAATGTATGTAATTCTAAAAATATCAATCACATTATGATGTTCATCAAGTTTGTCAATAACTTACTTGAGACGAAGAGAGACTGCCAGCGAGTGTTTGAAGAGCTGCAGCAACATCTGAGGCCTCACTTCTCTCACTGACAACAGACTGACCATCCTCATCCTCAGAATCATTTGCCTCAGCCTCAGACTCTATATCTGAGATTCCTCCGTCAATTGGCTCAGCATGGCGAGTATACAGCTTGCGTGCCACCAGTCGAGGTCGTTTGGCAAAATTACTCTCCACCCTTGAAGACAATTCCACTTTTGTGTTACTGTGAAGTTTGGTGGCCCCACCTTTATGACTGACACTATTCGGATGTCTCTTCTCACTCACATTTTTGATAGTCGTAACTGATTCTTGTCTTTGTGAAACAGATAATTGTTCTTGAGTGACATTAGTGTCTTCAGAAGTTTTAGAACTTTGCGAGATAATGTCTACATCCTCTGAACTGGAGAGCTCTTTCTGTGGCACCACTAAATGGGAAGGGCAATTCGATGAGCTCTGTTGCTTTGATTTTTTGTGGAAGGGAAAACATGGTCCCTTTGAGCCATGGCTACACATTTTCAACAGAATTTGATTATCGGTGTGAGATGAAACATTTGGTGCTAAACTATCTTTTGAAGCTTTCCCTGAATGTTCAGAATTAGTTTGTTCATGACTTCCAACTTTACTCAAGGCATCCGAGAACCTCCTTTTGTGAGAGTTTGCACTCGCTGCATCACGCACACATGCCGTCTCCTCCTCTGAGGAACTGTCTGACCAGCTGATCGCTTCACTCTCCTGGGTCAGCCTGTCTGAGATGTAGAAAGAAAAGAAAGAAAAAGTGAGAAACATGAAATCATACTTCTACCCCCTATCAACATATTGCCACACTAGAGGAAAAAACATTAAAAGCACACAAAGCAGGACACGCTTCCCTGTAAAAAAAGACCAGGATGCTGCTTGCTCAGTTGGCTTCACACAGGATTGCAGAGTTCTTATTAAAATGTAAATCGGGGATGGAACTTGGGCTTGAGGTATTCTGGAAATTTCCAGGCCCTCCAGCCATTACATTTGTCCTATCAGAGACAAACATTAAAAAACTGAGCTTCCCACCTCTAGAATAGAACCTCTCTACTACATAGGCTATTATATTATACTGCTGAAAAGAGCACACTAACAAAAACTAAATGTAAACAAACTGAGACAATTCATGAAGAGATGAAAAATGTTTTATCTACTTGTCAGTTCTACCTCTCCCCTACCCCCACTCCTAATTTTCTAGAGAGACGGCTCTTTAAGTCTTTTATATTTTACCAAACTTAACAAACCTCTCACATATATCGGGGGTGGTAATTATTAAGTTAAACCACAGAGATGTTAAAAAACAGACTTACCTGGAGTATTATCATGTGTTCTACTAAACGCAGATAAAAGATTCTCTTGCTTCCAGCTACCTGATCCATGGGTGGTTTTCTTTGCGTTACTATCATCAGCCTCCGCCCTACGACTTCTCCCATGGATTTTTTCAACAATACGTTTCCATTTGCTCTTCTCTGGAGTTTTGTCTGTTTTAATGTCAACAGAAGCTTCTCCAGACTTTGAAAGCTCTCTTTGAATTGCACCAAGTCTCTGAAACTTTTTCATTCCAGAAAAACCTGAACCCACATGTTGCCATCCAGGCATGGTGATCTGAAAGTATTTATAAAAAACAAAAAACATTGGTAGGCTGCTATCATAATCTATACAATCGAACCTGCCTTGCTACTGCCCTACATCTCAGACAAAAAAAAACTTTTATAATATAATGACGGAATCTTCCCACTCCACCCCCCTCCTTCCTCCCTGAGACAAGAGGAACCTTTACAAAGCACAAACCGACAGAGAAATTCCTTCCCTTCAGAGGAAAAACCTGTCGAAGGCAGAAAATACTTTGCCCGCTCTCATTCTGCTCAACCGTCACATTAAAATAAAAATCCTCTTCTATTACTCTAGAATCTAGATCTACATTTGGTTGCACCTGTCTAACAATTTAAAACACTGCCAGGCAAGGAAGCAGGGAAGAGATGCTGTTTGGTGGCTATAAATAACGAAAGATCTTGTCAGTTTGTTTTGAGAGTTTGAATGCATGCAATCCTTCCATGATTGTAAGCTTCCCAGGAAGCCAAGAATGGCTGAGTATTCTAGGTTCTGCTGCCGGAGATAATAAGAAGATATCTAGATCAAGTAGAGACCTAACCCTGACCCAAACCACATGCTGTTAAATGTAGAAGACACATCTTTCTGTGATTGGCTGCTATTGTAGTAATGTGATGTCAACTGGGATACCCACAGACTATTTTAAGAAGGTCGTGGAGGTACCGCATAGAATTAAGAGTTTCCGGTATGTTAATAACATTTCGGAATTCCAGTATTGACACTGTACGAATGTCAACAATTTCCTTCATGATTCATGGAGACATAGAGACGAGTTTGAGCTTCCTTCCTAATTTTCCGGTTCACTGCGGCTATTGAATTCATTCATTTCAAGAACGTTTCCTCTAGATCTACCGTATAAAAGAGAATTAGATTTCTAGATCTAGATCTAGATCTAGATCTATATAGAATCTAGATCTAGATCTAGATTCTTCTATATATCTATCATAATGAATAAATGAGAATGAATGATGAATGAATGAATGAAAAGAGTGACTCTGATCTAAATACATTTATAATTTAATGAAAGTGTGAAAGAACGAATGAATTGATATCACGATAATAAATGAAAAATAAATAAATAGAATTGCTTTTTTTTTAACAAAAACATGGCAACCCCAGAAACCTGTTGTCTAGATCTAGATCTAGATCTAGATCTAGATTGTATCGTATTTGCCGCTAAATGCAGCAGATTACTAGAATTTTCTGTGATAAAGGCAAAGGCCAAACAAAAGGTCTATAGTAGGTTTTTAGTGCATAAGAGTACTAAATCTGCCTCCGTTCAGGGCATCTTTCGCCGTTGTCGCCATCCTTACCAATGCATTAGATCGGAGATGACTTTTTTGTCTCCGATTAGATCTACAACGCAGGTGTATTTACCGTTAGGTTTTTTGTTTTTTTGGTGGGGGTTTTTCGGCCTCCCGCCCCTCTACCCCCCCC